GCAGTCTCACTCCTTCATACCTTTCCCACACTGGCTTGCAGAAGCTCCTCTGAGGTAGAATTGGGGGCTTCTCACTTTGTGCTGAAGCTGCACTGTGCACACGCTGCTGATACAGCACTGATGACACACAGTAATCCGCTTTCACGTCTGTTTCTCTGCCTAATCTTAGCCCCTCAGCGGCAGGGTTGGGTCTCTTCTCTCTGCATCCCTGGTGCTCAGCAGAAAGCCAGCATAGAGCAGGTGTCAGAAGCTGTTGAGGAAAGGAGGCTTTCCCTTTCCTCCTGCCCTCACAGCCTTCCTTCTTCACTGCTGGCAACTGCTAGCGGAGCAACTGCTGAGTGTAAAACCTGCAGTTACAGTGGCACGTGGGCTTGGGGCACATTGGGCCTCACTTTCCAGTACTCAAATCTGAAGCAGGTAGGCTTTATCCCCGGCTCCTCATAGCCTGGAGAAGGAAGCAGGGACAATTGCCTTCTATTTTACAGTCAGGAAATTGTTTGTGGCTTGCGCAAGATCACACAGCTCCTAAGTGGTGTCTCAGGCAGATGTTCCTGCAGCACCTTCTCCTGGGAAGGAAGCGGCCGGGCAGGAGCTCCAGGTGCATGCCTTGTCCTTGCCACAGGTGTCATGAGACCTGGAGGCTGAATAGGGCCAATAGCATATTTGTTGGGCTTGTCGGTTGTCTTGCTGGACAGGGTGGCCCCCTTACCTGCTATGCTGTCCCAGTCTTGCCACCCCTTCCCTGGGCTCTGCCTTCCCACTGCACCATGGGGTGACACATTGACTGGTTTCCCTCTTTCTTCGTGTGTCCAGATGATGGGAGCTGGTCATCAGCCTGGCAGTCTGCTAGTCGGTGTCCATGTGGAGGGGCTTTGCTGGGTGGGGATCTCATTTTTGGCCTCATGATGCAGTTTCCAAGATCCTGCCAGTGGCTTGCCCAGCGTCCCCAAGGCCAATTGGGCCCCGCCTGACCCAAGACGAGTGCTTTGGTTTCAATGGACCCAATAGATTCCTTTCCTGGGCCAGACCATAAGGCCATCAAATTGAGGGGACACTGCTCAGGCCCTGATACCGTGGCCTTTTCAGGGCCTTCAGCCAAGCCTCCAAAGGGGGTCCCAGACTGAACTCCCGCCAGCTCTGCCCTGTCTTCCATGGCTGATGATGGGGCGGGACGTGGAGGGAGCAGTGTAGTGCCACCCCAGCCTGCTGGAGACCACAGCAGGCATGTGGGGCTGTTCTTCAGCTACGTGGAGTCCAGCATTGCTCGAGCACCGAAGGATCACTTGGGAGACCGGCCTGAAGCGGAGTGGGGCGTAGGTGGAAGGCCCCCGGGAGGGAGCTGGGGCAGGCCCGTCCTTCACTTTGCCGTCTCTTTCTGTTGGGCTTCTCCCAGTTCATGGTTTTTGTATGTTTTGTTTCTTTATCTTGCTTCCTGCTGCTCATGTGCCCCCACGCTGTCTCCCTGCAGGCTCTCAGTCCCACATAACTATATGAGGTTGAGTTGCTGTTTGTATAATTTTTTCTTAAGTTCCATCTTTATTATATTTTAGGGCCCAGGGATCATCCTGATATTGTTGATTCATTTATGCAACTCCTGGCACAGGTGTGTTTTAGTTTTATTCATTCACGTTCTGTTCTCTCTCTTTCTCTTTCTCTTATGTTGAAATTCAATTTAAGCCTATTTTTAGCTTTCTGTTGACAAATTTTTTTTTCTGTTCAGTTGAATAGAGTTTCTTCATCTGTTTCCGTGGAAGTTGACAACCCACACCCTCCTTTAGTGCCCCCTTGCCTCAACTAGCCGAAGCCCAGGAGGAGGCTGGTCCCAAAGGGAGGGAGCTGGTGTGGCTGGGAGGGAGGGGGTGTGACTGTGCCCAGCAGCCCCTGTGCAGTTGGGGTGCCCAAGAAATTTAGGGGTAGGGCTGGAGTAGAAGAGCCTGGGGTTCATTGTCCCCGTGCTCCTGCCGGGAACTACCTGCCTCAGTGCCCCCAGCCTGCTGCCGAGAGGTGGGCTGGGATGAGCTCCAGAGGGAGGACTCAAGGGGAGCGTGCTGCGGCGGAGCCCAGAGTCGGGTGCTGGACAGGCGGGGCCGCTGCGGGAGGTGGGGTGCTGGCGCCATGCGGCAAGGTGTTAGGGTGTGTTTGCGTTTGGTGTGTGTTGTATGTTCTGCTCTTGGCTGGGAAGGGAACAGACATCACGTAGCCCCTCTAAGTAGTGTGTTCCGTGCTGGGCTTTGGGGTAAATGTGTAGGTGAGGTTGGGCACTGATGCGTGCCGTGTTGTCTGCTGATGTGCGAGGGCTTTGATGCAATTTGAATGTTGGCGCGTGTGTGTGGCGGCGGGGGTGGGCTGTGGGAGTGCGTGTGGTGGAGTGGTGGAGTGGATATTGTGTTTTAGCCGTGTCCATGGGAGGGTATGTATGTTTTGTGCTTTGGGAACATGGGCTAGTGTGATGGGGGCTTCTGCGTATTAAGGGGTTCATGTGAGTTGGGGGGGGTCCTGTGAGTTGAAGTAAATATGTTTCTTTGATGAATCATTCCACAAATGTGTATCAAGTGTGTAATACGTGCTCGCTACTGTGCTGGGTACAGTTCTTACTCCCTTGGAGCTTACCGTCTAGTAGTAGGGGAGGGGTGCAGGAGTGGGAGGTGGGCAGTGCATTCTGGGCTTGGATAGACGAAGGGGTGAGGGAATTCCAGTGTGTATTTGTGGGTGGCTGTGTTGGGAGAGCACATGTGCTGGAGAACTGGGGAGGTTGAGGCTGTGGGTATGTGGACATGGTGTGGGATGCGAATATGTAGTGAGGGTGCATTGCTGATGCAAGTGTGTGTGTTAGGGGTGTGGTAGAAGTGTGTTTGAGGGTCAATGGCATTTGAAGTGAAAGTGCATGTGGGGTGTTTGTACTTGTGTGAACATGGGGAAGTAGGAGGTATATGAGGAGCGGGAGGGTTGGGGTCTGTGGTGTGCGCTGGGAGGCTTCTGGGGAACAGAAGTGTCTGAGGCTGCCATGCAGAGATCTCCTGTGACCTGAGGATGTGCCAGTCATGTCCTGGTACCACTGGGGTGGACCATCTGCCTCTGTACTCCACCTAACACCCCCACAACATGGCAGCACTGGCTTGTGGGCTGGGTGTGACTGAGAAGGACTGGGGTACAGGGTATCCTGGGTGAAAGTGGGGCCGTGGCTGCAAGGCCCCTACCCTACTTTCCCTCTTCCTGAGCTGGAGGGCATCTGAGGGATGCAAGCAGGACATGGAGGGACTGTTGGACGGGGCTCCACATCTAGCCATCATCTCTGCTTCCTACTGCCCTGTCAACAAGCCCAGGGGCCTCAACTACTGGGAATCAAAGTGAAGTCACTGCTGGCTGCCTGGAGCCTGCAAGAAGTCTGGCCCTGCTGGAGGGGAGAGGGGACGGTGTTTGCTCAGGGAGTGACTTGGGCCCCAAGCGTCCTGCATTGTGAGCCTCCAGCCTCTCCAGATACATCTGTGCCTGCATGTGCACATCCCTGTGCACAATAGCCCTCGGTTGCTCCGCTTCCAACCTACTGAACTCTGGGGTGATCCGCATCCCCAAGAGATGTCTGGGTCACTGAGTTTGGCAGCCTCTACTTATGATGCGTGAGGTTGGGGTTGAGGTTGGGGCCTGAGGTGGCAGGTGAGTGGGGGGTTGGTCCTTGGAGCTGGCTGGGGCTGGGCTTATCAGCACCACCTCCTGCAGGCTTTGAAGCGGAAGCCAGATTTGTTCCTGTGTGAACGATTGGATGTCAAAGCTGTGTTCCAGTGCGGTAAGTGGGGCTAGATGGACAGGTGGGCTTGGGCCCTCATGGGAGGATCCTTAGGCCCCATCTCATCTGCCTCTGCCTCTTCCACAGCTGTGCTGGCCCTCAAGTTTCCCGAGGCTCCTACTGTCAAGGCCTCCTGTGGCTTTTTTGTGAGTCCTGTGCTGACCCCTGCTGCCCTCTACTTAGCCCTATCCTGCCCCTGCACCAGAGGGTAGGGGTGATGGGGGTGTAGGTCTTGTTGCTAGGGGGAAGTGGGGAAGGAGCTGGGGCTGATGGGCCTCTCTATTCTTTGTAGACAGAGCTGCTGCCTCGGTGTGGGGAAGTAGAACCTGTGGGAAAGGTGGTGCAGGAGGATGGCCGTGTGCTGCTCATAGCAGTGCTGGAGGTGAGAAGAGCAGGTGGGGTATGTGGGGGTTGGGTCACGTGCCCTGCTGACACAGCTGCCCTTCTCGGAAGCTTGAACCTTTGGTTCCATAGCTCTCTAATTCTGTTTTTCCTCAATTAAATGTCTGAAAGTTGTAGAGCTGCTTGAGGATCAGTTGGTTTTCAAAAGCAGTACTCACTTGTGATACATGGTTTGACTAAGGAACGCGGGTGGAGGTGAAGGGAGGGGGGCGGTTGCCTAGACACTCTTACTGCAGAAGGGGGAAAGCCCTGGTGTGCTGAGAACTTGTCTCCTTCAGGCCATTGGGGGCCAGGCCTCGCGCAGCCTCATGGACTGCTTTGCTGACATCCTGTTTGCCCTGAACAAACACTGCTTCAGCCTCCTGAGCATGTGGATCAAGGAGGCTCTGCAGCCACCTGGTTTTCCTTCTGCCCGCCTCAGCCCTGAACAGAAGGACACTTTCAGCCAGCAGATCCTTCGGTGAGCAGAGCCAGCAGGGTCTGGGCTTGGGTAGGGAGGAAGAGGCAATGATGGTAAATGAGGCTAACTGGCTCTCCCTTCCCTCCTCAGTGAGCGAGTGAACAAGAGGCGGGTGAAGGAGATGGTGAAGGAGTTCACACTGCTGTGCAGGGGGCTGCATGGCACAGATTACACAGCTGACTACTGAGGGGCATCCCTGTCCCACCAATGCCGCCTCCTCTCCCCCTCTCCTCCCCAAAGAGTAAACCTAGACCCTCACCACAACACTGTCTCTCTTCCTTTCCACTGCTACCACCACCTAACTGGGTGACCCCAGAAGGCCTGGGGGAAGGATGGGAGGATACTTGGAGCCAGGCTTTGGTAGGGAAGGGTGGGAATAAGTTCTAGTTCCTGTGATGGAAAGGCACTGTGGTAACTGAGCCATCTGGGGTGAAGCCATGCAGAATGCTGCCTTTGCCCTTGAGGTGAGAATGTAGATTGCTACCTCCCATCCCACTGTTAATCAACAGTCTCGAGTACTGAGCCCCTAGTTCTGCCTTGTCTTGTTTTGTCTGAACAAAGGTTAACTTAGTCTGTCACTACTGTGCTAAGCTGGGAGCATGGGACCTGTGAGGGAAGTGGCTGGATAAAATTTCATTTCTAATGGGAATGGGAGACTTCTAGACAGGGGACCTTGGGCTGGAAGGGAGCTGGGGTTGGGTCCAGTTGGGAGGGAAGAAATGGAGTGTGGCTTTGAGTTCCAGGATGGGTTTCAGGTGTGAAGTTATGGAGGCACTTTACATGATTGTAGAGAGGTATAGAAATCAGGGTTAAGCATGTGTGCAAGGAGGTATTGCAGCTCCCAGAGGAAGAGGACGGTGCTACCTCATGTTGTCTGCACACCCATAGCTGCCACCTCTGTGGTATCTGACCAGCACAGGATGGGCAGAGCTTGGTCAGGACCAGGGACAGCTCCCCTCCTGCTGTTGTCTCCTCCTTTAGCAGGATTCCCTTCCTTCCTGTTGGTCAGCTACAGTCCCACTGGACTGGCTCACAGGCACCCCAGACTTCCCCTTAGTAAGCTCTGAAGCAGGAGTAGGCTCTCCTCGCTTCCATCCGTGAGTGTCTGTGTGTGTCCTTGGAGATGATAGGAGAATTAGTTGCTGCCACATTAGCCCCACTCCTGCCTGTTTTTTTCCCAGTCTTTGCACAAATTCTGTGCTCTCCATTTTTCCTCTTTGTTCAGTCTCTTCCCATAACAACCAGTATCATCTCACTCTCATCGGTCATCTGAGGCCACCCTGGCCCCTTTCCCCTACTCCTCCTTGGTCTCATTCTCACCTTCTTGATTTCTCACTTCTGGGTATGTGGAGATGTGTCACCTACTTTTAGTCTTCCTATATGATGTTCCCAGATGTCTCACCACCCCCACCCCATGACTAAATGTAACATATAAGCTAGGAGAAGGAAGGCCCTAGAGCCCAACTTCTGATATCAGAGCTGGTTAGATAGTGATTTTCCACTGACTTGCTGTATCTCGTTAGGTGTTTAGCCTCTTTGAACCGTTTCTTGAACTGTAAAACAGGGCAATTCTTTTTTTCTTTCTTTTTCTGTGTATAGTATTTTTATTGTCATTTTAGCTTATTTTTATTGTCTATTTTTTTTACATCATTCTTCACGTACATACAATGTATGTTGTTATATTGTGTATAGTCCCGAGAAATTCCCAGCAGCAATTCAACCGTGTACCATCACCGTAGTCCCTGGTGCTCCTCCCACCCCTGTTTTGATCTAATTTCCTCCTTTCCCCACTGAAGAATGTTTCCGGTTTATAGTTGCCTAAAACAGGGCAATTCTTACTCCAAAGACCATCAACTACTCTAGTAGTGTGGTGGCGGCTCTTGAACAGTCAATTCTCAATGTTTGCCTGATTGATCAGATTGCTTGTGAGGATAATGGTGAATGCTTCTAGTACATGTGATGTGCAAGTCTGATGACTAAATTTATGTCACCCAACAATCCTATTAGGAGTACTAATGTTAGAACCCCAATTTAGAGATGAAATAGTCTTAGCGACCGTAGGTAACTTTCCTAAGATTCTAAGCAAGTCCTTAAGTGGCTGAGCTTAATATTCATGCCCAGTTTGGCACTTGAATTAAAAATTTCGGAGTGCTACCTGCCACATGATAAGATGCACATTAAGTGCCTAACAGTATCCAGCGGACAGGACCTGCTCAACTAGAGTGTCAGTGCTTCTGCTCAACTGGAGTGTCAGTGCTTCTGAGGACGCACGGGTTGATGCAGTGAGCCGCAGAAGTCGCTGCGGGGAGGGCAGGCTGGAAAACTACAACACCCAGAAGCCACCGTGCCTTCCTCTGCGACAGTTCCGTTCGGGCTCAGGCAGCGCATTGGTGCTCTCGGAGGCTTGTCGAGGATTGGAGGGCGAGAGCTGCGCCTGCTTAGGATTGGTCAGGCTGCCGTCGGCCGCGCCACGGGAACCCGGAAGTGGTCTTGCCTGCGGGCTCGTGGGTGGTGGGTTAACGTGTTTGGCTTGGTGGTTCGCTGGCCCGCCGGCCTCAGACTGCCGCTTCGCCTTCGGACCGGCGGCGAATCTCCGGAGCCCGTCTGACCCGTTGAGGGCTGCTTCGGAGGACCTGCAGCTGTTTCCCGCCGCCCAGTCAGTGCCTCATGGAGTCTACGTTCAGCAGCCCCGCGGAGGCGGTGATGCAGCGAGAGGCGGGCGCCGCGGGGCTGCCCACCCCTCTCGCAGACCTGGACCGAGTGTACGAGCTGGATCGAGTCGTTGTATTTGTGCGCGACCTGGACTGTCAACGGGTGAGAGCAGTTTAGGGAGGGTTGATCGCCCAGAGGATCGGTATCGTGGGAGAATGGGGTGACAGAGTTGGGTGAGGGGCTTGAAGGTTGTGTAACTAGCGACTCCGGGAAGGCTTTCCTTGAAGAGACCCTCGGCGGGGAAGTGTCCTTGACTCCGCCGCTTATACGTTTAGGTAGCCTTACAGTTCCCTGATCAGCTGCTGGGAGATGCTAGGACCGTAGCCGCACGACTGGAGGAGCTCACGGGGTCGAAGATGTTCATTCTGGGGGACACGGCTTATGGCAGGTGTGAACTTGAGCTTGAGGGTGGGGTAGGTCGAGGGGTCCAGGGCTTATGGTGTTTCCTTCTTCTGGTAGTATCTGCTCCCAATCCATGTATTTCTTCTTTGCGTTGTCTCCTTTCCTGACACCTAGCTCCCTTAACGGGCTGTCTTTTTATCAAATCGTTTTCCTACTGACCATGTTTGCTATTGATGACAGCAGCTCTCTTGAGGAGAATCCCTCTCACTGATGGTTTTTCCTCTGCAGCTGCTGTGTGGACGTGCTGGGTGCTGAACAAGCTGGAGTTCAGGCCCTTGTGCATTTTGGCCCTGCCTGCTTAAGTCCTCCAGCCCGTCCACTACCTGTCGCCTTCGTCCTTGGTCAACGTTCTGTGGCCTTGGAGCTCTGCGCCAAGGCCTTTGAGGCCCAGAACCCAGACCCCACTGCCCCTGTGGTGCTGCTGAGTGAGCCGGCCTGTGCCCATGCTCTGGGTGAGGGGTTTGCCTGTACATGCAGAAAGGGTGGACCACCTGTGCCCTATCTTCTCCATCTCAGTATGCTGGCATAGAGCTCTTGTAATGGGCTTGAACCTAGTCTTTGCTTTTGGGTCATAGTTGGTCTCTTGGGATGGGGGGACTCCTGCCTCCCAGCTTTCAACTCTGACACCACCTCCTTCTTCCAGAGCCCTTGGCCACTCTTCTGCGTCCACGGTACCAGGACCTGCTTGTCTCCAGCCCAGCTCTTCCCCTGCCAGTGGGCTCCCACGACCCAGGCCTCGAGCTCCTGGAGCGTTTTGGACGTCGCTTCCCACTGGCTTCAGGGCGGCGTCTGGAAGAGTATGGTGCCTTCTATGTGGGGGGCTCTGAGGCCAGCCCTGACCTCAGCCCAGACCTGAGCCAGCTGCTCTTGGGCTGGGCACCAGGTCAACACTTCTTTTCTTGCTGCCCAGACACAGGGCGGACTCAGGATGAGGGTGCCCGAGCTGGGCGCCTCAGAGCACGTAGACACTATCTGGTGGAGAAGGCCAGAGATGCCCGTGTGGTTGGGCTGTTGGCAGGCACATTAGGTGTGGCCCGACACCGTGAGGCCCTGGCACACTTGCAGAAGCTGACTCAGGCTGCTGGCAAACGTAGCTATGTGTTGGCCTTGGGTCGGCCCACGCCTGCCAAACTTGCTAACTTTCCTGAGGTGGATGTCTTTGTGCTGTTGGCCTGTCCTCTGAGTACCCTAGCCCCCCAGTCTTCTGGTGGATTCTTCCGGCCTGTACTGGCACCATGTGAACTGGAAGCAGCCTGCAACCCCGCCTGGCCACCTCCAGGCCTGGCTCCCTACCTCACACATTATGCGGACTTACTGCCTGGTGAGTGGTGGGGCACTGCCTGAACCCACAGTGCTGGGAATGTGGAATAGGGACCACCATGGATCCTCTTTCTCCCTCTCAGGCTCTCCCTTCCATGTGCCCCTGCCGCCACCTGACTCAGAACTATGGGCCACCCCAGATGTGTCGCTCATTACTGGGGAGCTCCGACCCCCACCTGCCTGGAAACCATTAAAGGACCCTGGATGCTCAGCCCTGACCCAGAGACCTCAGTTGGAAATGATTGAGAGCAGTCCTGCAGGTAAAGTGCAAATTCTCCACCCCCAGCTGAACTCTTCTCCTGGATTCAGCCCACTTAGTCTCAACCCCTTTCTCGGCAGCCTCATTCCTTAGTTCTCGGAGCTGGCAAGGGCTACAACCCTGCCTGGGCCAAACACCAGTGACAGGCGCCGTGAGAGGAAGACGGGGGATTGCCATCGCCTATGAGGATGAAGGAAGCAGCTGATACCATGTGGGGGCAGAGACACAGGTGGACTTAGAATCGCTGCTAAGACCTTTAGTGTCCCCTGCACCAACCTCACCTCTCTGCCAGGATCCTTGAAGGAGCCTGGATGAAGGGAGGGCAGACAGCTCTTCATCGAGGAGAGGATCCAGTTCTGTGCTGTCCTGGCACTGGCACAAAGCTTTGCTCATATTGGCTTAGTGAATGCCTGTAATTGAGTGATGGAGATTGACTTGGGTCTTTCCTGAAGCCACTGGGCCCATCTGTCTTCCTGGGAGCAGCCTGTGCCTCTGGCCAGTTACAGGTCCTGTTGTGCAGTTAAGGGTCTGTCCTTTCAAAGGCAGGTTCTAGAAATTGTTGACCAGGGTTTGTCGACCTTGGTACTATTGACATTTGGGGCCAAATCATTCTTGAGAGGGGCTGTCCGGTGCATGTGTATAGATGCCAGTGTAATACTCTTACCCAGTTGTGGTAACCAAAAATGTTTCCAGATATTGACAGTGACCTCCGTGGGGACAAAAGTGCTCCCACTAGATACATGTGGCTCTTTTTAGATAAATTTACACTAAGATTGAAAACTCAGTTTTTCAGCCACACTAATCACATTTCAGCACTCAGATAACCACATGAGGGGTAACACAGCTGTCAGACATGTCCATCATGGAAAGTTCTGTTGGAATTGGATGGGTCTGCACTGACTTTGATTTGTTCTCAGGGAGAACACAGAAAACTTGAATAAAACAGAGACTTTTTCTCCTTTGTTTCTTTTTATTCATCAAAAACTTCAGGTCCTGCACAGGTTCTCTAGACAGAGATCTGAGTTATGTTTGACAGGATTTTTGTCCTCACAATGAAGTTTGATAAAGGGACAATTAAATAGACAATTACCACTCAGGGCAACAGTGAGGAGGGCAGTGGAGCCCAGATGGGGTTTGGGGGGATGATACCTAAGCTGAATCTCTTGAGGAAAAAAATTATCAGGTGAAAAGAATATCTGAGCAAAGGGTACACCATCTTTAAACACCAGCATTGTGGGTACTTGAAGCAAAGTGGAGTTGAAGACCAGAAGGACTGACGTGAAATGACCCACATTTACTAAGACTGTTGACATAATGTCAGTGCCCAGGCTGTTGAAGAAGCAGGTGAATAAGGGAGATGTGGTCTGTGCCCTCAGGTAGTGCCCAGGCTATTGGCCAAGGTAGAGCCATAAATTGAGCATAGTAACTGGGACAAGGTGGGCACCAGTCATGCATTCTATAAATATATTTTGAGGACCCACTGTGCCAGGCACTGGAAATGCAGCACTGAAAACAACTTCATTTCATGTTCGGTGGGTGGATGGGCAGGTGGTCACGCTAGGGGAGAAGGATTTAATATTCAGTATGTCAGATGGTAAAAGTAAATACGAAGAAATGCAGCTGGGAGGGAATGTACTGGTGAGAGGGTGTAATATTAAATGGGGTGGTCAAGGAAGGCCTTTTGGAGGTGAGCAGAGACCCAAAATGGAATTGTAAGTGAATTAATTAGAAGCAGAGGGAACACGTGCAGGGCCCAGCGGTGGGGGTGTGGCTGGTATGATCAGGAAACGCAAAGGAGGCCAGGGCAGAGGAGAAGACAGTGGGGCAGTATTAGATGAAGTCCACGGGCATGGGAAGCCACGATTAGAGCCCGTTGTAAGTATTTGGGATTTTATTCCCAGTGAAATGGAAACCAGGGGCATTTTAAATGGGAATGACGAGATCTTGTTGAAGTTTCCTAAGGCACACCACCCTGGGTTAGGGGAACCTTCCTGGAAGAATGGTTTCTAAAGACCGACAGGGGTAGGCAGGTAACGAGGAGAGCGTGAAGCCCGAGGAAGCAGCCTAAGCACAGTGAAGCGCATCCTACCCTCCCGGGACTGGGTAGGGAAGCGTGGGGTCAGCCGTGACTTGGAGGCCCTAGGCCAGGCTCGGGTTTAAACCCGGGCAGGACTAGGGGCCCTAAGCGGGGTGGGTGCCGGGGCTGAGTGGGAGCGCCCCTGGAGAGGCCAGAGCTGAAGGACCGTAGAAGCGCGCCCGAGCCGGTTCCGTGGCGCGGGACTACAACCACCACAATCCTCAGCGCCTGCAGTTCCCGCGACGCCGTTCCAGACCGCAAAGGCGCAGCGCCCGACCCGACGTGAGGTCACGTGAGGAAGGGGCGTCACGTGGGTGGCCAGGTGACGCTGCGGGGCGGGCGGACAGACTGCGGGGCGGACAGTGGACGCAGGGACGCCGTGTTCGGTCTGGCCCCCACCGCCCGGGACCCCCGCCGTCGTTGCCACCATGACGGGGCTAGCGCTGCTGTACTCCGGGGTCTTCGTGGCCTTCTGGGCCTGCATGGTCGTCGTGGGTGAGGCCGGGCCCTGACGGGCGGGGTCAGCAACCCTGCCGAGGTGGTGTCCGAGCGGGGAAAGTGAGGTCCTGGAATTAGTGGCCCCCAGCGCGGGCTCTGTGCCCCGGGCCCCGGGGCTTGCATCAGGCCTTTCCCGCGGGCCTTCAGTCCCCCTGAGACCTAGCTGTCCAGCTGCTCGGGGTGGGGGGCCGCGGGCCGGCGCAGGTGGGGACTGCCGACTAGCCCTCGCCCGTTCTGTCGCTGCAGTCGCCCTCCCCGGCCCCTCAGCTCTCCTCCCGCCCTGGCTCCCGACCAACCCCGGTGGTCACGAACAGGCCGCTCCAGTTCCTCTTTTCCCGGTCGTTTTGCCCTCCCCCCACCCACAGCTTGTTGGGTAAACAGCGACTCGGACTGGGCTGGCGGGATCTGGTGGGGCCAGCTCTTGCTCCCTCCCTTCCCCCAGGGTGTTTAGGCCAGGGTGGCTGCTGGTGGAGGGGCTTGCTCTGGGAGGAGGTGTCACCGTGGGAGATGTTGCTGAGGGAGTGGCAGAAAATGGAGGTCTGGGCAGAGGGATCTATCTGTATGGACAGCTGAGCTTTCACGTGGGGGCCGGCCTGAGGATTCTCCCTTGAAGGAAGTATGTGCAGGCCGACCTTTGGGAAAGTAAGTGGCCCATCAGCCGAGGAGCAGCTTCTTGTCTAAGTTAGGAAGTCTCTAAAGAGAACAGCCCCTAACTTTTTTTTTTTTTTTTTAACTCATTGCTGCAGGAATTTGCTACACCATTTTTGACTTGGGCTTCCGCTTTGATGTGGCATGGTAAGGGGGGGCTGGGAGAGGATTCCCTTAGGAACTGCCTCTCTGTGGCCTTACTTCTTCTTTGGGAAATATGAAGTCTGTTTCAGCATCCAGAACTGGTGTGCCTGGAGAGAGGCGCGGTGGGGGCTGCTCCCCACTTCTCCACCAGGGCTGAATTGCTTGCCTGTCTCCACCTCAGGTTCCTGACTGAAACCTCCCCCTTCATGTGGTCGAACCTGGGCATTGGCCTAGCTATCTCCCTGTCCGTGGTTGGGGCAGCATGGTGAGTGGATGGTGGGACCAGGAGGAGGGACTGAGTCATAGCAGGTGGTGTCATTGGTTCTTTAGTCATGTGGGGGCAGAGTCAAGCTTGGGCTCTGCCATTCAGTGTCTTGTCCTTCTAACAGGGGTATCTATATTACCGGCTCATCCATCATTGGGGGAGGGGTGAAGGCCCCTAGGATCAAGACCAAGAATCTGGTCAGGTAAGTGGAGAGCCCTTGGAAGGTCGTCAGAAATAGCGGTGTTGGGAACTGCCTGCCATGCTGCTCCTGGTCACCTTATTGGGGGCAGGGGGATGGCAGTAGGGGTAAGAGGTTTCTTGAGAAGAGGCTTGTTTTTTGGTTGTTTTTTTTTTTTTTTTTTTTTTAATTTCTTTCTCCTCTCTACCCTATTCCTCTGCTCCTACTACCAGTATTATCTTCTGTGAGGCTGTGGCCATCTATGGCATCATCATGGCAATTGTCATTAGCAACATGGCTGAGGTATGGAGGACAGGGTGGGGTGTATATATTCCAGTGTGTTATTTATATTGATTTATCGATGTTGGGTGGTGGGAGGTAGTTTTTGATTACTTTTCTGCTTCCCTTAGCCTTTCAGTGCCACTGACCCCAAGGCCATTGGCCATCGAAACTACCATGCAGGTGAGTGGATGTGTAAAGACAAAAGGCTGGAGCTTCATACCTGCTTCCCCCTTCCACATCTCAGCTCAGTCTTCTCATTGTGACATTCTCTCATCTAATCTGGCGTGCTCTGCAGAGTGAGGTGATTGACCCCACTCGCCCATGTTGTCCCCTCTCACGACTACCTCGATCGGCCTCAGTGTCCCTCTCCGTTTCCCCAGGCTACTCCATGTTCGGGGCTGGCCTCACAGTGGGCTTGTCTAACCTCTTCTGTGGCGTCTGTGTGGGCATCGTGGGCAGCGGAGCCGCCCTGGCTGACGCACAGAACCCCAGCCTCTTTGTGAAGATTCTCATCGTGGAAATTTTTGGCAGCGCCATCGGCCTTTTTGGGGTCATCGTTGCAATCCTTCAGGTGCTCAATCTCCTTGGGGATCCTCTTGTCTCCAACCCAGCCTTACCCTCCTCCCGGGGGATCCACAGTATTCTCTGTCATAACCATAGAATCGCTGACCGGCTTTTACTACCTCATTCACATTTTCTGGTTTTCCCCTTTTGAAACTTTTGTTTTTGTCTCCAGCCTGGTAGCACTGCAGTGGTCTTATTTTTTCCTTTCTGTTGCTATGTGTCTGTATATCTTTCATTTAGTCTCTCCCTTTATGTTCTGTCTCATACTTTATCTTTCTGTTTATTTGTAGTCTCAACTGGGTTGGGATCTCGTCTTTGCCTCTTGTCAGTCCGTCTTAGTGTATTTGGGCTTCTCAGGGCCTGTGTGTGTGTTTGTTCTGTTTGAGAACAAATACATGTCTGAGTCACGTCTTGTCTGACCATGTGAGTTTCTGGCTAAGAATCAGCTGAGGGTCAGAGCGTGGCTGTGGGTGCCTGCCTATGTTCAGGTGGACCCTGGTGACTGGCACTGTCCGTACACCGCTCCTCGCCATCTCTGTCTGCAGCATAACTCTGGTTGTTCATCTGTGTCTGTCATAGCATGTCCACTGTGGTCCTTTCACCCATTTGTTGTGGTTTGTCTGTCCAGCCATTGGGTATACTAGGTGTGGTTTTCTGTCATTTATTGCTGTTTTACCTGTCCCTACCTGGTTTTTCTTGTTCTTTTGCAGACCTCCAGAGTGAAGATGGGTGACTAGATGATCTGTGTGGGTGGGGCCGCGCCCCACTCTTATTTATTTGTGGTTTTCCCGGGACAGCTGGAGCTGTGCCACTTAGCCTTTCAGGGGGGGCTTGGCGTTCAGGGCCCTCCCTGGACTCAGTCTTTGCTACCTGTTGACTTGGAGGCACTACTGGCTGGATCCTCATTGTGGAGCGTGGGCCCCTGATGACTGTGCGGCTGTGTCCCACCTCCACCCCCAACTCATCTTCCCAGTGTTTGTGAAATAAACATGGTATTTGTCTGGGTCATTGCTGCTTCTGTTGCCCGCTTCACCTCCCTTTAGAGGCCAGAAAGCCTGCTGGCCTCTACCTCATGCCAACCTCTTGGCAACTCGCAGTAACACTGCCTGCTCTGGACAGAGCTGGCTCCAGGGTGGGGAGGTAATGAGACTGGGCTGAGTGTAGTGCAGAACATCTCTGTTGAAGGGAAGGATGAGTGGGCCCAGGTGTTTGTTGGGGGTGCGGAGGGTTTCTCCCGGCCACATCTACTTGCCACATGACCCTCAGGCAGCTATAGCACACATCCTATGGGGTTGATGCCCAGTC